TCATAGGCCTCATGGGTTTGGCCCAGGGAAATAGTCATAATCTCTTTCTATTTCTTACTCCAAGCACGTTCCCTCCTTCACCTCCTTCTTTGGGTAGGAGGCAAAACTGGCAGGGGAGGGGACTCTATCATCCCTCTAACAACAGAAAACTCCCAGAAATTAAAGAATCATCTCCTGGCTATTTCTGCGCACTTGATTCAGATCTACCAGAAGGGTTGTTTTGCTTTTTGTTTTGTTTTTTTGTTTTTTAAATGTCATTAAAATACACTTTAATATCATTAGCAAGATAATTAACATACTTTAAAACATCCCAAGAAAAGATTTTTCTCTGGTATAAATAACAAGTCATTACAGTAAATTTGCTGTGATTAGTATTATAACTCAGCTCTTTTCCATTTATGTTTGTTCAGAGCTCCTGTTCTCTCACAAGTTGCTATGTAGTTGCCTATTTGTCTTTATTTTTTTGAAAATATTGGTCTTTTCCATGAAGCCCTGGAGTCCTCTCCACGCAGGGAAAGGTAAAGATAGCCCTTTGCTTGTTTTTTAATGAAAAACAAAAAAAAGAATCTTATGCCTTGACTGTTGCTCTTTAAAAAAAACCAAAACAAAACGCCACACAAAATCCTCCAAACCTACAATACTATTTTTGCATGGTCTGCTATTTTATCCTTTGTTTTATTCCTGGCATCAAGCTTTATTTGTTGGCACAAAGAAATCTTGTAGCTCCAAGCTTGAAACTCAGAGGCAGGGAATGACAAACCATAAGCTTTAAAAAGGCTTGATCAAGGTTTGTTGCCATAACTGTGCAGAAGAGTTATTTCAAAGCCACACATCCCCTTTCTTCAGTGATCCTTCACATATAATAGCCCTCAAAAATTACAATGTTCATGAAAGATGGCAAGATAAATTAAAAAATTTCAAATGAGTATAATTGAGTGAATAGTGACATAATCATGATTAAACTTTCCTGCTAAGCTGATTTAAAAAATAAAAAGAGCCTTGATGCCTCAGATACCAGAATTATTTCTGTATACTGCAAGTCAAATGTAAAGTGAGCACTGGCAATAATGACTTGTTCATGGTGACACTATTTTGCTGAGATTTTGTATTCTCAAATTAGGCAACTGAGACTGTAGAAAATTTTAGCTATCTTTTTCATCTCTCCCCACCACAAAATTTTCTCATTTCCCCAACTATCAGATTTTTTTCCTTCTATTTACTTCTTGGACCCACTGCAGAACACTTCTAGATATATTAAAAAGACAGCTGTTTTGAAGGGGCATCCTAACACGCCATTTGTCAGTCTACGTTTAACTGGTGCCCTAAGATTTCATGGCCTAAATATATAGGAAAATAGTAGTCAGGACAGTAATTTGAACAGAAATACAAGCACAGCATGCTCTTCATATTACACACATGCTGACGTTTCATCTACTTAACCCACAGGCCATTCTGAAGGTAATAACATGCTACCTCAAGAGGCTAAGGTTTCATTACATTTTTAAGGACTAACAGGTGTGCCCCTGTGGTTTGCCAAAATACTTCATGATGAACTGCAAAACTAATCTGTAAACTTGCTGCTCACCCCCTGGCTCGCACTGCACCTGGCTAGTGAAAAGGCAACAGTGGGTTTTATGCCTGGTCATCCTTGTTCCACTGCCGCAGACCTCAAAGCACCAATGCAGGTGCTTAATCTAATCTACACATCACTAGGGAAAAAAAAAAAAAAAAAAAAAGTCTTATGACCTTGAAAGCCTTTAGGTTATACTAAAAGTGCGAAAGAAAGCTCCTACCCCTTGTCCCGCTACAACAGTTCAGTAGAAACTGAAGGGAGGTTAAAGGGTTAACAAAAGGACCTTTTGTGAAGCCAACTGTAGATCCATTTTAAATTGCTAGCATTGTGTTTTAGATTAACTTACTAATCATATGGAGTAAGATAAGTAGATAAGTAGATAAGAAACTAACACTGTAGGGAACGTGGAAGAGGAGAGATTAGTAGTAGCAAATGGCCCATCTTTGTTACAGGCCTTGGAAGGCCTGTAGGAGAACAAAGTGTCTGGCACTTTGTCGATATGAGGATGGCCAAGGATGGGGAGCTGGTTGGTACTGGCTGTGTTGTTCTGACAGTGGAATAAGGGGGGTAGAAGCTGGAGTTCACCAAAAGGACAAGGTGAAGAAGAGGAGTGGATGAAGTAAACAACCCCTGAAGGCCACCGACTCAAATCACTGAGCATGTGCAGTTGGGAGGGACTTATGGAAATGACCTCTTGAAACTAATTTTAATAGAAGCGGGGACAGGTTATTCCTACGTATAGGCGTATTGGGAAACTTCATGTATACGTAATGCTTTGCTACACATAAACGGGGCAAGCTGCTGTGTTGCGTGCGCACAACTTTGGTGGGACTACCCCCCATGCTGCCCAGCGCTGAATAAACATACCTACTTTACAATCTTACAGATTGTGGAGTCTGTTTTCCGCAGGTCAAAACTACCAGGAGCACCAGAGTAGTTGCGCTCAGGCATGGATTAAGGTCAGACAAGCTCTCTGATGCCTACAGGACCTTTGTGACATTGGTCCTTGCAGGCCACACACACACACCCCCCCTTTACTCTTTGATCCCCAGTTCGTCTGCCATGTGGTACCATTTCTAAATACGGGGTCTGTAAAGAATATGGTATTGCCTATAAATAAGATTCTGGTAACACGGCATGGTGTGGAAAGTGAGGACTTTTCTGATTTGAGGCCGGGAGAGCGGCTCCTGGGGGCAGCAGGGCCTGAGAAGAGCGGGCGGTGGGGCTCAGCAGCACACGGCCGCGGTGGAACCGCTGCCAA